TCTGGTATTTTGAATGTTTCACCATTCTTTGCCTTTTGTTTTATATATATAGATTAATTTGGTATAGCCTAATAGTAATGGATAAATCTCTCAACTACGCTTATATGTGTAAAGAATATAGCCGTAAGGCTATAATAATTGTTGGATGCGCAAATCTTACAGCCTGGTGCTCCGGGCCTAGAGGATGTGCGTCAACACGTGACGTCCTTCTTTTGGATGCGGTGCGGTTGTGCGTGGGCGTGTCAGCACGGTCTACTGTGCGTCGAGATGGTGATGAGGTTTGAGTAGAAGATGGCTAAATGATGCGCATGTTTTGAGTTTGACTCCTAATCAAACGATTGTGGCCGAGAAAGGAACTGATCTCGGCCGTCAGGTTCACGGCCTGAGCTACAAGGCCGTTTAGTTGTGGTGTTGATGGCGGGTTTTAGGCGGTGCTCCGGCGCATTGCTCAGAGAGCAACGGTCGTATGATATATGGGGTGAGTGAGATGATAACAGAGATGGTGCTCCGGCGCCTTGAAAATCAAGGGTCGTATGATATATTGATGAATGAATTCTCCTTACAATCTACCACTACTCCTAAGAAAGCAAATAAAGGTATTGAAAGTGCATTATAGGAAAATATAATTTGCTTCGTGGGAGGCTTTTGGTTTAGTATTTGAACCCTTTGAATGTAGTCCCGAGCTTAGTATTTATAGGAGGAGTCCTGGAGGGACAATCGAGGCTGAAAAGACCTGCGTGGTGGAGCCTGATCAGGGCAAGTGGGTAGTCAAATCGGCATTTGGGATCGTGAAGCATGGTGGTTTGGGATCGTGAAGCATGGTAGTGTGACCCCCATTGGTAAATCTCGGCCACTGCCCTGATCGTGGGTTCTGCCCCTTGGCCGTGTGAATGCATGTAATGCCCTGGTCTGGTGATTGGTGATCTGACCTCAAATTGTAAGATTACTTGTGAGAATGTCTGCGCCTAACCATTCTGATTTCCATCACCATATCCTGATTTCAGTCACTTCCCTTCTTTCCTTGTGCATTAAATGCTTCTTGCGACTAGTGGGTTTGCTGCGATAGTCAGAGACATTACTTCATTAAATGTGGCGTGGGACCTTGAGGCCACGTGGCGATTTAACCACAGTATTTTCGGCCGTGTCTTTTACTGCCTTCGGCTTCGGCTTACAATACTGCGGTTGCGAGGCCGAGAGGATTCTGCTTTTGCAGCTTTTCTTTTGTTTTTAGGAAGGCGAAATGCCTAACGAAACGTAGCCGTTTCAGTTCATGAGTAGGTGGGCCGAGAGGAGTTCCCTTCGGTCAGTTTATGACCGTGATTTATTAGGCACAAACAATAATTTTAAAAAATAGAAAAAATAGAGTATAGTCGCGCGACTATATAAAAGGCCAAGTAAACCTGCTGGGCCATACTAATTTTTTTAAAATAGAAAAAATTGAGTACCGCTATACTATTTCTTTAAAACAAAAAATTGAAAAAACCTTTTAAAACAAATTAAAAAAACCTCGTATAGCTGCGCAGCTATACGATTTCTTTTATAAAAAGACCGATTATAGCCGCCTGGCTATACGATTTATTTTATATATAAAAACCAAGTATAGCCCCCCGGCTGTACGATTTCTTGAATTGATTACTAATTTACTAGTACTTGAAATTTGTTTGCTTCCAACTTGCTAGAAACACAGTATTGGGAGAAAGATAGTATAGCGGAGTGGCTATACGTATTTCAACACATGGTGCCTATTCGCTAGGTGGGTCATCTTTATATATATATATATAGTATAGGTGGGCAGTTATACTCGGGTTATTTATTTATTTTTTAAAATAGTACAGTTGTTCGGCTATACTCAGTTTTATTAATGTTTCTTAAAGTAGTATAGCGGCTCAGCTATACCTGTTTTGACACGTGACCCCCATTCGCTAGGCGGTCCTCTTTATATATATATATATAAATAGTATAGCCGAGCGGGTATACCCGGTCTACTTTTAAAAAAAAAATAGTTTAGCTGTGAGAGAAAACAGTTTAGCGTTTGGTAAACTTTTTGTTAAAAGTGTTGTTGGTACTAATTTCTGCATAATCAAAAAATAATTCCCGCATAATCATTAAATCCAGCGTCTTTTCGAAATTGATTCCTTCATAATCAAAAAATGAAAGCACATTATTAACTACTTTCTCTTATAACTTTCTTTCACAACAATTTTTAACAATAAATGATTTTCTCATAATTTACCAAATGAGTTGGGCTTCTTAAAATTTTAAAAAAATCACTTACCACCCCACATAAGCAATACTAAATAGGTACTTAAACTTTAGTCAACCTTAAAATATGGGAATTTTCAAGTAAAGCCAATAACCATCGCATAATACATTACATCGCATGTGAGAGCTACTTAACCAATATACTAAAGAAATGGTCGTCTTTATTGGTGGTTGTGTAAGTGGTCGTCTTTATCATATCTTCTGTGTTGTTCAGGATCGTTGTCTTCTGGGTTGTGTCAAGACTTGGCATTTGGCTGGTTGTGTTGGGTTTTGCTTGGATTCTGGGAATCTTGCTCTTTGTGGAGGATTTTAGCGAGTGTAAAGTTCCATCTTATCTTTGAATTCAAGCTGATCTTATTAGGTTGAGATAAATCTGATCTTATTAAGTGCTACAGTTAGCAAAATCATAAAGTTTCGCATTTTGATTATAGAAATTTCATGTGGTTTTACTTTACCAAGTGAAATATAGCTTTAGGGTGCTTTGGATCTAACTAAAGTCCACGTCTTTGGATAATTTTTGGTACTTCAACCTACTCATCGATTAGATTTGACTGGATTTCGTAACTTTCCCCCAGTATTTCTTTGCATTGAGAGCACTTGGTAAGCTGCATTTTCAAGCCTTTGGTAGATTTAAATTTTTTTGAGCTCTTTCCAAGTTCATTGAAGACAAGAAAGAGGAAAAGAAATTATCATTTTTGGTAGTTAGCCGTAGTTTGGTTTTCTGGAAATTTCTGGACCCAAATGATGGGAGCAAAATCCAGTAAAAACAAGGGTGTTAATGCCTAAGCACAATCATCACCGCCACCTCCGAACACCCGCCCCCCAATTCCCTTGAGCTCGTATGAGGCAGCCTTACAATCATTTGATGCCACTTTCCAACAGCGCAGTAGCCGTGTCATCACCTCACTCTCCACTGGAAGAGGTTACTGAAGAGTCAAAGTTCGGTCCATATAGACCCAAAGAGGTTACTGATTGTTTGCTTGAAACGAACCAGGAAGGAAGTGGTCAAAGTCATTCTAGAATGCAAGAAGGATATATGAACAGTAAGGAAATGTTCTCTGTTGTGGAGGAATACTTTGAGAACAGTCTTCAAACATTGGACTTCTGTACTGGCCTTGAGCAATGTCTCAAGCGTGCGCACAATAACCAGCTGTGCTCACATTTGCGAAGTCAAATGCATCTTCTCAACTATCTTTGATGCTGTGATGGATAACTTCTTGTTCCACAGGCCCTCAAAAATCTTTTTGGCTGTTTTGTTCAAGTCATTCTTCAAGTTCGGATCTATTGCTCTCAACATCTCCACTGTTATATCTTTAGCAGCTTTCAGGTCCTTCAATTCACGCTCCGCATCAAAGCTTTTAGCTGCAAATCAATGATTTTTAAATTAGCTACCACATCCATTAATTCAAAATCAGCTAACGACGTGCACTCGTTACTTAATACTCACCAAGTCCAAAGTCTCCCAACTTTGGTTCTCCGTCATGCAGGAGGAACACGTTGCAAGGCAATAAATCACCATGGATGAATCCTTTTCCATGGAGATATTCCAAGCCTTGCATGATACCCATGACAATTTTCCAGTACGTCTTCTTATCCAATTTTCCATCTTCACGCAACAAATCTTCTATGGATCTGTTTGCCACATAATAAAATAATATGTTAGAATCACAAATCAACTTAGTGACACAACAATTAATTTTATTTTCCAGTATCTAACAAGAGCATATTCCAGTATGTATCTTCATCCAATTTCCCAGTATCATGCAACAAATCGTCTATAGATTTGTTTGCCAATAAAACGATATGTTAAAAAAAGAATAAACTAATTGACACAACAATTAATTGTCTTTACCTCTCACAGAGTTCCATTTGTATGTACAAATGGGGAACATCAGGCTGTTGTGATGAGCTATCTTCGGAAATTCCAAAAGTAGGTGGCTCTACCCATGACTAGAATTTAGAAAAAAAGATATTGATAGACATACATATGTTAATTTCTTAATATATTTATGTATGCATGTTTACTTAATTAAATTAGGATAGATTGCTCACCGTGTAATAGCGGACAACATTGGAATGTTCAAGCTTGCACATCGCATGAACTTCCCTAAACAATTCAAGCATGTCACATTTAGAATAAGAGTGAATTATAATTACAATATAATATGAGAAGTGCACATAATCATAATAATATATATATATTTTTTAAAAAGTCAAATACTTACTTAATGACTGTCTCAAAGCTCATTTTGTTTAGACCACCGATTGGGACCATTTTGATGGCATAGAAGTTTTGATCAATCTTGTGCTGGCATTTGTAGGCGCAACCGAATGCACCTTTTCCTAACAAATTCAACTCCCTAAAATCTGAAAGGTATCTGGAAAACTGGATATAGAAGAGGAAAGGAAAAAAAACACACTACGTTAGGAGAATGTATTTGTTCAATTTATAATTTGAACTTATCTAAGCACTTCTAGGCTTACCTTCTCATTCTTAATGACAGGACTCCAAATCATGCATCCGGTAACAGGGCATGTCATCTCCTCCATGCTGGATTAACACCAAGAAATTAATACAATTAATCGGACAGATTAAAAAAACAGTTTTTTATTTGTTTAATTTATTTTACATGTGGCAAGGATTGACTGGTCATTTCAAATCGGTACAATGTACCTTCCGCACCTGATTGGACTCCAAAAAGTTGAATACTCATATAAGACCGTGTTCTCTCTTCCTCCCCAATTTCTCAGTCTCTCTCCTCCCTTCGTTTCCCAACCCTAGCCGCAACACTGCCTTTCTTCGTATGTCTCTCTCTCTCTCTCTCTCTCTCGCTGAGATTATTCTTTTGAGATCTTTGTGTGTCTTCCTGCCTTTTCTACTATCGGTATTGATTAAGTTTATCCTTGTTTTCTGTTTTCTTAATGCTTGTCAGGTGGGATTGTTTATCACAGAGCTTAGAGCAATGGCTCCTGCTAAAGGTACCTCCTTTCTCATGGAACTGATATATTTTGTATTATACCCAGAAAAGGAAGAAAAAAAGAATGTGGGTTTCATGGCTTTCTCGTTCTTCAAATTTTCTTGTTGTTTATTGGTTTTGGTTCTTTTGATTGTTCAAGTGTTTAATGTTTGAATGCTGGTTGGTGGACAATTTCATATCTCCCTATAGAAAACTCGTCCAAAAGGAGGCTTCTTTCTCTTCTTCTCCCAAAAACTATGCCCTCTCTCAACCCAGACCCTAGTCTGCCCCTTCTTCTCCGTGTCTCACCCTTATTTCTTGGGGCTGCCTCTCAGCATGTTCTGATTTTGGCTAGATCTCCCACATTTGGACCATTGTTGTATGTGTTATTGATGAGGTTTGGTGGTAGATCTAGGTAGATTTCCTTTGGATCTATTTTCTGTGGTGGTGTAGTTGTTGGATCTAGGTAGATCTTCCATCATATGGTATTGTGGGAACACTGCCTCTCTTGATATGTCTCTCTCTCAATGAGATTATTCTTATGAGATCTTTGCGTGTCTTCCTGCCTTTTCTACTATTGGTATTGATTAAGTTTATCCTTGTTTTCTGTTTTCTTAATGCTTGTCAGGTGTGATTGTTTATCACAGAGCTTAGAGCAATGACTCCTGCTAAAGGTACCTCCTTTCTCATGGAACTGATATATTTTGTATTATACCCAGAAAAGGAAGAAAAAAAAGAATGTGGGTTTCATAGCTTTTTCGTTCTTCTAATTTTCTTGTTGTTTATTGGTATTGGTTCTTTTGATTGTTCAAGTGTTTGATGTTTGAATGCTGGGCTTGATTGGTTGGACAATTTCATATCTCCCCATAGAAAACTCGTCCAAAAGGAGGCTTCTTTCTCTTCTCCCAAAAACTATGCCCTCTCTCAACCCAGACCCTAGTCTGCCCCTTCTTCTCTGTGTCTCACCCTTATTTTTTGGGGCTGCCTCTCAGCCTGTTGTTCTGATTTTGGCTAGATCTCCCACATTTGGACCATTGTTGTATGCGTTCTTGATGAGGTTTGGTGGTAGATCTAGGTAGATCTCCTTTGGATCTATTTTCTGTGGAGGTGTACACCAAATCACAGATCACAGGTAGACCAGGAGTTGCAAAACTATGCGATTACTGACTTCTTATTTTCTTCTGATTACATCAAATTAAGATCGCTGCGAAGGGCTCTGTTTATGAGTGTTTTTAGGGTTTATGTTGGGTTAGCTGGACTGGTTAGGGTTCTTTTAATTGTGTTGGTTGTGTCTGTGTGTGTGATCTGCTTTTTTTCTGCTATGAATCTGGGGCTTTTAGTTTTAGTTTTTAGTTTTTTTTTTTTTATATTTATGGAAATACTCCTTTGGATAGTGAATATTGGGGTTTTCTAGGATTATGCATTATAGCGTATTCCATTGTATCTTAGATATCCAATCTTAGGAAAGCTTGTTGATATTTACTAGCACTTGAACTTCCGGTTTATTTTTGTGAAGGATAATAGACTCCTTTCCTTACTTCTGATAAAATAGTTATTTCAATATCTTTCTGAAAATGGTGTATATTAGCTTCATTTCATGCGTTATTGTAAGGTACAGTGATCTGACGGTCTCTTTTGCAGCATGGCTCTGGTGGCTATGAGAGAGAATATTCAGATTAGAGAAAAGGGGCGTGATAAGGATATGGACGGGGACATAGATAGGACAAAGATAGGGAAAGGGACAGAGACAGGAATAGGGAATAGGGAAAAGGGACCGAGATAGAGAAAGAGAAAGGTCTCGAGACAGGGATCATGATCGTCGTCATAGGGACCGCCACAGGGATCGTGAGAGAAGCGAGCAGAGGAGAGATAAGGACGACGTCGATGATGATCACTACCGTGTTCGGGACTCTGATAGGTATGAATATTTTTTAGCTAGTTATTTACTTGTAAAATGAATGTTCTGTTGTGTACTGTCATCTGAGTTAGATGCAATCTGGAATTTTTTATATTGATAGTAACTAGTGTGTGAATTAATCAGGGGAAGCTTGTCTGTTTTTTAAATTTCTTTATTCTTGAAACAAATCCTTTGAATTCTTGCCTTCTTATTTCTGTTATGATTATTATGATTATTTATGAATTGATTTTACAGGTGGAGGGATTATGACAGAGACGGGGAGGATAGGCAAAATAGGTTACAAGTCTCAGTTTCGTTTGAGGGGTAGATCTGAGCACAAATCCAGATTGAGTTCACATTCTCGTTCACGATAAAAAAGGTAGTTATTTGAGAGATTAGTTTGTGAATGTGGAGTTTGAATCACTTTCTTAAGGACTCCTATCTCCTGTAGCAAATCCTAAATTTGGATTAAATGTCTATTACCTGTAGTGGCTTAAATTTGTAGGTCATGATCAATTTGGGGTTTAGGGTTTAGGATCTTGTTTTAGTTTCAATCTGAGCATAACAAATCAAAAATATACACTGAAGCACTCAAATCAATATTCAATTCATTTTCCGTAACAAATATTCAAGACGAATCGGAAATATACATAGAATAATTCAGTAACAGATTGGAATTAAATCGATTATAACCAGGAAATGAAAATAAAGTTGAACTTACAGAGATTCTTGCTTTGAGAAGCTCAAAGGTCGTCAGAAAACCTTCAAATTCTTGTTTTAGTTTCAATCTGAGCATAACAAATCAAAAATATACACTGAAGCACTCAAATCAATATTCAATTCATTTTCCGTAACAAATATTCAAGACGAATCGGAAATATACATAGAATAATTCAATAACAGATTGGAATTAAATCGATTATAATCAGGAAATGAAAATAAAGTTGAACTTACAGAGATTCTTGCTTTGAGAAGCTCAAAGGTCGTCAGAAAACATTCAAATTCTTGCTTTCTGAATTGGAGGGAAACCAATCGGAGTGGTTTAGTCCCATTTAGCATTCGGGTCATGACTCACCCGCGAAACCCGACCCGGCACATTGTTAATTATTGTTGCAACAAAAGTTGTAAAAATGGTCTCCAAGGGACTCGAACACTGGTCATAAGGCTGCTAGCACCGGTGGTAGACCACTACGCTGACACGTTATTTTGTTTTATTTTCGATATTGTAATTTAAGATCCATCAATATTTAGTCTTCATTGCATGGATCATCATTGTCATAAAATAATGGGTTAATGATAGTTTAGTGTTCTTTGGTTACACTCTTTTAAGTCATATTAATCCATATATTCTTAGTTTTTACAATTGAACACCCTAGTCTTTAAAATTTTTTACAATGTGATTTTACCGTTAGGAATTCTGGTTATTATTTTAAGGATGAACAAAATTCAAAGTAATAGTGCGCCCCTGAAAATGCAAAGGAATTAGAAGATTGAACTCGACTATATTTCTAGTGATGATCTTATCTTTTGAAAAGCTTATTTAGTTATACAGAACTACATAGTAAAATAACTTACCTTACCTTAACAATGTGAACAATAAGAAAAGCCACCGAGACATACACGAGCATCGATAACTCCTTCCAGTAAATGTTGTGTGATATAGGTACCTGGACAGAGTTGTTCACAAATTCAATAAGACATAATCTGAAACAACTTCAAAATTGCTGATACCCAACAACTTGGAACTGACCTGCTCATCTTGCAATGAAACCATCTGCAACAAAGGAGACGTGCGCTTTAGAGTTTTCTTTTAGTTCATATTAGTGCATAATCTCTAAAACTTGGTCTATATATACACTCACCGCCACATTTGGAAACCAATTCCAACTGCTTTTCTGCTTCCTGAAAGTCATGTGAAACCTCAAATTCCTTGTTAGTACGTTGGTAACAGACCCTACTCATTGATAACCCAGGGGATCTGGATAGTTGTGTGAAAATCTTACCTTCTTCATCATTGTCTCTTTCTTCCATGTTTATATGCCTTTCATTAAAGCTTTTGTTGCTGTACCAGCCAGAACTCAGAAGAATATCTAATAAGATTATTGGGAGTGTATATTCTGTAGACACTACAGAGAATTTTTTTTTAGTTCGATAATGGTTGGTTATTCTATAAAATTTTCCTACATTTTTCCAAATAACTCAAGAAATAGTGACTTTCAGAAGGAACAAAGAAAGTTAACTAACAATCCAGTAGAAGCTTTGAAATTATAACAAAATAGTTCAAATGTTTGGTATTGATAGCATTTTTATGCCAAGTTTTGAAGTTTCTAGAGGACGATTAAGCGCAATATATGTAAAGATTTGATGTGCTTTTCTTTTAGTTGTGTTCATATTCCATTTTATGAGTTCAGCTCTCAAAGTAAAAAACTAGTTAGGAAATTGTGGTCAAAATGTTGTTACCTAAGAAGAGAATAATAAGTACAACGGTGACCATCCAGTCAGCGAACATGACTTTGAAGGCAACTCCTGTGCTGATGCCCAGCATGAGCATTGGCTGAAAGAGAAATGCCAGATCATAATCTATAAGGGCATGCCCAGTGTTGTGTGCGTTAAGTCTCAAATTAAGTATACAGTTGAAACTGAAGCACCCATTATCATACCTGCATGACCAATAGGATGGCATATAATTCTTTAATTCTGTCTAGACTGAATACATTAAGATCAAATTAACAAGTTAAAAGAAAAGATTAATAAGAAAGATGATTACTAACACTTGGAAATGGCAGTGGAAGACTTGGGATCAAAACCAATGATCAAGGAATTTTGAATCCAAACCTCTTCAGTGATTTTTCCTTGCCAAGGATTCTTGACAAGATTTTGACTGACAAAAAGAATAGAGTGAATTTTGTCTTGCGTTGAACTATACCTGAGCAGGAATTCCCAATTCAAGGAAAAAGGGTCCCAAGATGAAACCGCCTCCCAGCTACAATCCCACTGCTGCAGTAAGGTAAAATCTGATGGAACTTCCAGTTTGTGATTTCCTTTCCTTTGAATGCAATCACCCAGGTACCTTTGCATAAGAATTTAGCTTCAAAGAGCATAACGGAGACTGCAATTGGTACCTACGAAATGATAATATTTATGTTCAACTGGACATCATTCTTTTTATGCACGCTTGAGTGTATATAGTTATGTGTTTCTATAGTGTCCGTTGAAGAAATCTTACTGCTCTGGTTGTTAACCTTACTGCATGGAGTTCAGGACCCAATAATTCAGTAAGAAAAGTTAAAATCATGGTGCTTTGGAAGCAAATGCAGAGGTATTAGAAAGATGGAATTTGATTGCGTTGCTAGTGATGATCATATCTTTTGGAGAGCATTTTAATAAGGTCCGGTATGCAAATAGATGAGTTCCTAGAAAAGTTTCTTTAGTTGTACAGAACTACAGAGTAAAATAACTTAACAATCTGAACAATAAGAAAAGTCACCCAGACATGCACAAGCATCAATAACTCCTTAAAGTAAACGTGTGTGATATAGGCACCTGGATGGAGTTGTTCATCATATCAATAAAACAAAAACTGAAACCACTTAAAAATTGCAGATAACAAAGACGTTGCAAAATAATACAGGCTTAGAATGTTCTAATATTCTTGGAACTTACCTGCTCATCTGGCAATGAAGCTGGACCACTAGGTAGCAGTTTATAGTCTTCTCCAGAACCATCTGCAACTAAGGAGATGTGCAGGTTAGAGTTTTCTTTTAGTTGATATTAGTATACTCTAAACTTGGTCTATATATAAGAATGTTTGCTTGGATAAGCACTCACCGCCAGGTTTGGATTCCGATTCCAACTGCTTTTCTGCTTCCTGAAAGTCATGTGAAACCTCAAATTCCTTGTTATTAGATTGTCAACAGACCATATTCATTGATAGTTTAGGAAATAGTTAAGTGAAAACCTTACCTTCTTTATCATTGTCTCTTCTTCCATGTTTCTATGCCTTTCATTAAAGCTTCTGCTGCTGTACCTGCCAGAACTCAGAAGAATATCTAATAAGATTATTGGGACTATTCAAAGTAAATAAGGAATTTGTGTTCAAAATGTTATTACCTAAGAAGAGAATGATAAGTAGAACTATGACCATCCAGTGGGCGAACATGACATCGAAGAGAACTCCTATGCTGATGCCTAGCATGAGCATTGGCCGAAAGAGCAATGCCAGATCATAATCTATAAAGGGGCATGTTCAGTGTTGGGTGCCTAAGTCTCAAATTGAAGTATACAGTTGAAACTGAAGCACCCATTATCATACCTGCATGACCAATAGGATGGCATACAGTTCTTCAATTCTGTCTAAATTGAATATATTAAGATTAAATTAACAAGTTAAAAGAAAAGATTCAAAGGAAAAGTGATTACTAACACTTGGAAATGGCAGTGGAAGACTTGGGATCAAAACCAATGATCAAGCCAAGCATTGCCTCCACCTCCCACACTACCCAATGCTGCACCAAAGAATCCAACTATTGAGCCAACTACAAATTTCCAACCAAACTCGATCTCCTGAACAACCAAAATATATATGTCAAAGTAAAAATACCACAACACTAAACAGGAAAGGAAGAATCATAAATTCTTGGATGTAATAATTATATCCCCTTTATGCTCTCTCTCTCTCTCTCTCTCTCCCCCTATGTGTGTGTGTGTGTGTGTGTGTGTGTGTTCTTGCTGGAGATGCATTAATCAAACTCACGGGTGGAGCAAGTTTGAGTATATGTCTGCACAAAGTTCAGATATGCTCATTCAGTAACAAAAGTTAAAATCATGGTGCTAATAAACCAAAAACTGAACAATATCTAATAAGATTATTGGGAGAGTATTCAAAGTAAATAAGTTATAAGGAATTTGTGTTCAAAATGTTATTACCTAAGAAGAGAATGATAAGTAAATAAGTTATAAGGAATTTTCTGATTCTATACTTTCTCCATTACTGATACGTAAACATGCCCCAAGTAGTCTCCAATCTTTGGAAAATAAACTTTTCTTTATATCTCAATAACTCTATAATGAATTAAAACCTATAGACACTGAATAAAAAAATCCCTTGCTAAAACAGAAATTCTAACCTAAATAAAACAGGAAACTTATAAATCCTCTTAAGGCAATAGAATAAAAAAAATCCATTGCTAAAACAAAAATTCTAACATAAATAAAATAGGAAACTTATATAAATCCTACTAAAATCTGGAAAACTTAAAAATCTTACTAAAATCTGGAAAACTCAGAGAACAAGTTAGAACCAACTAGGATCCGGATCCTCTACTATGATTTTCTCTGTCATGATGATCTGCTTTACTTTCCTTCTCCACATGACACCTCATTAAAATTTAATCTAATGGATGTAAGCCGGACACAGTCAAAAAGAAATAACTACATATCAATCAACTTATTGTGGCTGGACCTGGAGATCAAAATTGAGTTTCAGAGTTGTAGGGTTTTCAATATTTCTCTTCTTTTTGTTAAGTGTATACAAGAATGACTACTGATCGTCTTTCTACCTCATCCGTTGCCGCTGCCATTGCCGATCAGGATTCGGGTATGGGGGATTTATCTTTGTGTCATGATTTGTTGTGCAATATTTTGTTTAGATTATCACACAAGGATTTGCTGAAATGCAAGATGGTGGCCAAGTCATGTCATCAAATAATCTCTCATGTTTGGTTGCGGAGATTTTGGTCGCAGGTTCCTCTTTTGGGTCTTTACTTCTGTACTCTGCCCGAACCTGATGATACGGATCATCAAATCAATTTTGCCTTTGTACAAGATTATCCCTTCTTGAAGAAGTCACTGCCTGATTTCTATTATTTGGTTCGATTTCAGAGACGCAATACCTCCGATAATCACCTGGACTGTTGTAATGGGTTAGTTTTGCTGTACAATCCAAGCACTTATCAGTTTTGTGTGTGCAACCCCATCACCAAACAACACGTATCCATACCTACAACATGTTTACATGAGAATGAGTATTTTTGTGCTGCCTTGGCTTTTGACCCTATTGAATCGAATCACTTCAGAGTTGTTCGAATTGATTATTCCCGACAACTGACTTCCTTGAAATCAACCTCAACCCCGTTGGACATGGTCATGGTCATGGACATCTTTTCTTCGCAGTCGAGGCAGTGGGTTCGACATGGGTTGCAACTCGACCCAATGTTTATTGAGGGGTTCAAAACTTTCAAGCTTTGCAGGCATTTTGTATACTTGCGCGGGGTGTTATACAGCCTAACTAGTTCAGGGAAAATTTTGTGCATTGACCTCAACACTATTGAAGCTCGTGCGTTTGATCTCCCTCATGGGCCTGAGGATGATGATGCTGATGCTGATGATAAGATGGGTGCAACAACAATGGGAATGGGATGTCTTGGGATCTCAAGGGGCCTTGTTTGTTATGTAAAGCGTGATAGTTCAAAAACTATTCGGTTTTGGTCTTATGATGATCGACAATGCACATCTGGTTCCGGTAGTGATCAGTGGACTCTCAGACACAGTGTTTCTGAAGAAGTCCTGCAAGATCGGGTTATGTGTCTTTTAATCATGACATATGAGTATGAGTATGATTCTGATGAGGATGATCCGATTAGACCTTATGCAATATGTCCAAATTCTCATGTCCTTTTCTTTGGCACTTTAAATTGGATCGGCAGTTGCAATTTTGAAAACCAAACGGTGGAACTCATCGGTAAAGGAAAAAGTACAATAGCTTCACCTGGTTATCACTCTCCTTTCTTTACACTACGTCCGTGCTTGATACCTTTCTACTGTTTGGGTGAGAGGAATGCCTGCTCTACTCCAATAATGTAAGTTGACTGGGTCCTTTATTTACTCTTTTAGTACTTTTCATTTCATGAATTGCAAATCATTATCTCTAAGAAGAGTGTTTTTGAAAACTCAATATTGACTAAAATAAGTTGTTACATTCAAACTTCTCTTTTTTATACCAACTCAAACTCATATTTTCAAAATTTAATTAATTTTTTAAAATGCTTTGAGAGTAATATTAAAAGGTGCTTTCTTTGGAGGAACTCACATCATCAGTTTGTTTTGATATTGCTTTCGGATGCAAACACTTTTTCAGTGTATTACTGTCAAAATGAAGAATATATATTTTCTTAGTTTGAAGGAATATTGAGAGTAGATTTTCTATGTTTGAAGGAACATTGGGAATAGATTTTCTTAGTTTGAAGTCATTTCCTTAGTTTATTGGTGAATCTTTCGCTTGATTTGGTTTTCTAGAACTGATAAATACATGAACTCAGTGGGAACTGTAAAATACCATCTTTTGCCTCTACATATATATAGGTAATCAAGTAGAGAAGCACATAATTCGATTAGGTGTAAGACAAGAGTAGCATTATTTCTTCATCAATCGGTAATTTTATTGGTTATATTAACTGATCACAAGACATGAGGAAGAATATATTGTTCATAATTGAGCAAACTATGTAGTGTAGGCTATATATTTGTGATGTAGTTAGGCAGGTAAATAAGCTTGAGTTTTCCTTTGTTGTTTTTCCTCAATCTTAATTTGGTGCATTGATCACTTGTATGCTCTTCATCCTCGATCTTAATTTGTTCGTGTTTTCCTTCCTAAACAGACCAGAAGGTGTCGCCAAAGGAGTAAAGATTCTGAGTGCGGAAGTAGCATGTCAATGTGATGAACAAAAACATAGAGATATTCGAGCTGTGCGCATTAATAACTCATTCCCTATTGAGAACAAATCACCGTTTGTTTTTCCTAGTGAAATGCAATTATGTGCAGCGATGGAGGAAATGCAACAACTCTAAGAGACACCCACAAGAAGCACAACCCCACCCCAAACTCTCCGCCAGTCCACAGCCTTCTTACCTCAAAGACATCAACCCTAGAAGTAGAAGGTTGACTAAATTAGGCATCAACCCACAAGTATTGTCATGATTTGTCGTTATTTATTTGATTATTATATATGATTTGGATCATAGTTTGATGCTAGCTTTGTCTGTTTGTTGATTAAAGATTAGTACTATTGGTTTTAATTTGAATATAGGTTCATAATTGATCTTTTGTTGGGATGTTAATTATTTTCTTTTTTATTCATAGTGAATATTCTTATATGGGGAGATGTTCAATTTCCAAAAGTTTTATTTCATAGATAAAGGAACTACATTGCTTATGGGTTGGCTTAAGGGTGCTTCTGGTTCCAAGCTTAAATGACACATAACGAGTAACTTTATTCAAAATAAGTATGATTTAATGACCAAATAGACATATACGGGTTATTTTATAAATGATGACATCTAAGTATGATTTTTTAGGATTTCAGTATGATTTATTTTTTATAAAAAAAATAGAGTCAATTTAACATTTCAAATGGTTGGGCATGTTTAAAATTCTAAACAACATTCCAAAATTTTCAAAAATTAAAAAAAAGTACCCTTGTAGTTGCATTTGTTTATACTTTATAGATATTAATTTGGTATAGCCTAATAGTAATGGATAAAGCTATCAACTACTCTTATATGTGTACAGAATATAGCCGCCCGGCTATACTAATTTTGAAAAATAGAAACAATCGAGTATAGCTGCTCGACTATACTATTTCTATAAATAAATAAAAGGAAAAAAAACATAGCCAAGTATAGCCGCCCGGCCATTCTTTTTTTAATTAAAAAAATAGAGTACAGCCGCACGACAAGAATATTCTTTGTTTAAAAAATTAAAAAACCGAGTGTGGCCGGGAGGTTGTACTATTTCTTTTAAAACAAATTAAAATAGGGAGATTCATTTTTATATCTAATATAGGGGCTCAAATTATTATTAAATAAAAAATAAAAAATAAAAAGCCTATATGAAACGTATTTTAGAAACACACTCAAAGCTTATTTACAACATAACAAAGAGGCTTTTAACTTCTTTTAAATTACAAAACTACCATCAATTTCTTAAAATAAGCCTAACATCAAAACCTCATAAAAATACCCAAAACACTGAATAGGGCATCAAAGTAATTTAATAATAAAAATTAAATTCAGCCAGCCGTCATTTTTTGGGTTTTTTTTACAAAAATTAAATGGTGTTGGGTTTATCTATATTATTAGTGCTAATAATAGATATATGACTAAATATCTCATTAAAAAATCGTGTATAACCACCCGACTATACTATTTATTTTTAAAAAAATTATAGAAACCAAGTATCGGTACGCAGTGACACTAGTATAGCCCCGCGGCTATACGATTTCTTTTTTGAAAAATTTAAAAGGGAGCATAGCTGCACGGCTGTACATTTTATTTTAAATGAATTTGAAAAACCGAGTAAGCTTAAATGGGTTGGCTCAAGGGTGCTTTTGGTTTTAAGCTTAAATGACACATAACGAGTAACTTTATTCGAACTAAGTATGATTCAATGACCAAATAGACATATAAATGATAACATCTAAGTATGATTTTTCGGCATTTTAGTGTAGTTTAAATAAATAAAAATTAGAGTCAATTTTAACCTTTCAAATGGTTGGGCATGTTTAAAATTATAAACAACATTCCAAAATTTTCAAAAATTAAGAAAAATGACCCTCATAGTTGCATTAGTTTATACTTTATAGATATTAATTTGGTATAGCCTAATAGTAATGGATAAAGCTTTCAAATACTCTTATCGATAAACAAAAATGGGGAAAACAGAATTATAAAAAAGAAAGATCACAGTATCTATGTAAAGAATATAGCCGCCTGGCCATACTAATTTTCAAAAAAAAAAATAGAAAAATAGAAAATTTTAAAAACAGAGTATAGCCACCGGCTATACTATTTCTTTTAAAAACATTTGAAAACAGCCGCTCGGCCATACAATTTATATAAATTTAAAAAATCGAGTATGGCTGCGCAGCGATATTATTTCTTTTATAATAAAAAATTAGAAAAACCGATTCTAAAGCTTAATTTCAATCCAAGTGCACCCATAATCAGCTTTATAATTTCATTTCATGTTTCTTAGGGCATTCATTTGAGTTATCATGCTTTTGTTGTCATGTGTGACCATAGCAAACCTAACAAATCGAACTTGACTACATTGTTAGTGATGTCCGCGTAAAGATTCAAATAGATTCATTCAGTAACAAAATTTAAAGCAATATTGCGTCCCCTGAAAATGCAAAGGAATTAAAAAGATCGAACTTGACTACATTTCTAGTGATGATCTTATCTTTTGAAAAGCTTATTTAGTTATACAAAACTACATAGTAAAATAACTTACCTTAACAATGTGAACAATAAGACAGAAAATGTTGTGCGATAGAGGTACCTGGACAGAGTTGTTCACAAATTCAATAAGACAGAATCTGAAACAACTTCAAAAGTGCAGATAACCAAGAACTTGGAACTAACCTGCTCATCTTGCAATGAAACCATCTGCAACAAAGGAGGTGTGCGCTTTAGAGTTTTCTTTTAGTTCATATTAGTGCATAATCTCTAAACTTGGTCTATATATATACTCACCGCCACGTTTGGACACCAATTCCAACTGCTTTTCTGCTTCCTGAAAGTCATGCGAAACCTCAAATTCCTTGTTAGTACGTTGGTAACAGACCCTACTCATTGATAACCCAGGGGATCCGGATAGTTGTGTGAAAATCTTACCTTCTTCATCATTGTCTCTTTCTTCCATGTTTATATGCCTTTAATTAGCTGTACCAGCCAGAACTCAGAAGAATATCTAATAAGATTACTGGGAGTGTATATTCCGTAGAAAATGTAATATACTTCTAATGGTCATAGCATATGTACTCATATCATTTGACAGATTCAAATAATTAAGCCTATGTTGGTATAAGCGGTAGCAACTATCTCTAAATGTTACCAACTGCTCTTTGTTACCTATTGATGGTCAATTTTTTCGTTGTGAAGTGCACGGGATTGGGATGTATTAATGACTTTACTGTTATATTTTGAATTCCAAATTCCAATGCCAAGATGAGCAGTGCTTGATTTGGGTCGACGCTTCAAGATTATTCAGGGTGTTGCTAGAGGGCTTCTTTATCTTCACCATGATTTCTGTTTGAAGGTAATACATAGAGATTTGAAGGTCAGTAACATTCTCTTGGATGAGAACATGAACCCAAAACTTTTAGATTTTGGATTAGCATGTATCACTTAAGGCACGCAGATTCTAGCAAATACTCACAAGGTTTGTAGGAACAATGTAAGCATCATCTCTTTCTTTTCCAATTCTCGGAAATCTTCTTTAAAAGTTAAATCCTTGAACACACTATCACTCATCTGAATAAATGGCCTAGGCGATCTAGGCAGGTGCTGGCGCCTAGAAGAAAGAAAAGGCCATTTTGGAACTCCAAGTTCTGGGACGAGATGACGATGGTGCTATGAGTCGAGAGAGAGAGAGAGACGACGATGAGATTGAAGAAGAAGAGATGTTGCGTGTTATATTTAGGGTTTAGAAAAGGGCCTGGGCGAGAGACAAGGGCATGGGCTTCAAAAAAATACAACATTGAATGGATTTTGCATTATGAAATCACTAAAGTAACCACTAATAAGTATATTTTAAATCAAAAATATATATCCTTTTATTTTTCATGATTTTGGTATAAATTTTTAATTTATAATACTAAATAATTTATTTAAAAAATCATAGGCACTCGCATAGGCCCCGATTACTCCTCTAGGCGCTAGGCCCTTGCGAGTTGAGATGATGGATCTTTCGTTTTTACTCCAATTTTGTTTGTGAAAGTTTCCATAATTTTCTCTTGCATTGCATAGTTGCTTACCCTTTTCATCAATTTAGCATAAACTTTTATGTTGCAAGTTTGACATACAGTGTTGATCTATTACACAACACATTAAACTTATGGGATCACTGATTGTCGAACATGGTGTCAGACGATTTTTTGCAAGTGATCCTAAGTTCTACCCATGTTCTCCACTTCTTTGTTGGTTTGCAAGTGACGTATGGGGCTGCACTTATATGTTTGTCTCTTTCCGGCCATACACTATTTGGAGCCAATGCTTGTCTAATAGTAGGAACTTTGAATTAGTTAGAGAATTTAGATTAAGCTTTTGCATTTTGTACTACTAGAGCACATATAACTATACATGAAGCAACAGATTGCACCTATATTTGCCATTAAGGTTGACTTTTGAATTTGATATCTTTGTGTAGTAGCTATAACCTCATTGGAGATACAACTGAGGCAAATGTTAATCTGTTTCTGCACAGACACATGAGAAGTAACATAATCTGAAACATAATAAGATTGTTTCTGGTATCCTAGAAGAAAAGCATGGCATATGACATTTCGCAGGAGTACCAAGGTGTTTGTGGGTTTCAAATAGTTTAATTCAGGTCTACATATAAAATGTGTGTAAAGAAACTTTCTAAATGCAAGTTCTCAAACAATTAGAAGCAATTTGACCATTTCATTATATCATATAGTAAAAATTTTGGAGAAGCTGAATACAGTCTTTCAATGTAAAAGTTTTGTACAATGAAGACGCATTTGTAAGTTCTTAAACTTCATCTTGAAACCTTGTGAGGACACATCAAAACGAACTTATTAAGTAGCCTTGAGAAATCATTGTGTCAAATACAAGTCATTCCACCCAACTTGCTTTTAAACAAGCCAAAGAAATATCTGAATTTATGAGACCCAATTCCCGGAAGAGAAATTTCAAGTATCGGCATGCTATAAAGCTCCACAAATTTGTCCAGAAGTATCTCGTTCATTTGGTCCACATCACATGCATGAGTCCAGAAGGAATCATGCAACCCTGCAAGCATAATTTGACACATATGTGAGACTTCAAACATACTTCAATATGTAAGTGAGAACTAAAACCAACATACTTCAAAAGAGACTTGTTTTGATGAATCTATGCCCTCTAATCATCTAAGTACAGAGCAGGGTGTAGAGACTAGCCCTTTTCAACTCTTTAAGGTCTGTTCTGATCTAGGTTTTTG